TATATTTTTATCTTTTAAAATTTATTTTTAATATTAATATACTAAAAAATCTAAAAACACAAAACATTCTTAATTTAAAATAAAAAATAATTTTTTTTTTTAAAAAAACTTCTAAAAGTATCTGCACAGCGGGCTCTCTAGGGCTTTGACCGACCCCATCACCCTGACTTCATGATCTCGGCAAAAGAGAAGAGAACTATCACAATTACGGTAAAATAAAATAAAAAAACCCGTGAAACGACAAACCGAGAGGAATCGAGGGGAGACCTCCTTCATGAAAATGAAATGTTAGAAAATAAAATAAAACATACAGTATATACTTTATTTTCCCATTTGTCAAGAAAAAATTGAACGTTTAACGGTTGAAGCAAAAACTGGAAGACAGACAGACAGACAGAGTCCAGTGATCGAGAGGAAGAAGAAGATCATTCTTCCAAACGACAAGTCGTTTCTCTTCAGGTAAATCACCAACCACCACTCAGATCTCACAATCACCCTCAGTAACTTAGATCGATTAAGATTTTCGTAATCTAATTCGTCTTTTTAGGTGAATTTTGGCGACGTGAAGAAATCTGGCGTTTGATTTTGTCAAAGATGGACAAGTCAAGTGCATTGGAGTATATCAACCAGATGTTTCCTACAGGTTTTCTTTTTAAGTAATTTATGTGTTAAATTTAGTGGAAATGATGTTTATATTTCGGAGTATGATTTGTTGATTGATTCGTAAATTGATATGCAGAGGCGTCTTTGTCTGGAGTTGAGCCGCTGATGCAAAAGATACATAGTGAGATTCGTCGCGTAGATGCCGGAATACTAGCCGCTGTTCGGCAACAGGTCGTGAATTGTGATCTTTTGTGCGTTTTAATTGTTCGTTAGTTATGCATCTGCCTTGGCATTGTGAAGTCTTGAACTATTGCTGCGGCTGGGATTTTTGTCTATTTGTTTTTGGTACTAGATGAAGGAATATTACATGTAAATGTGTTATGAATTGAGGAAATAGAGAATTAGGTGTTAGGAATTAGAAATACACTCGTTTTAGTTTTTGATGGTCGCGGTTATGTGCATTTTGATGTGATTTAGAGCAATTCGAGAACAAAAGCGAAGGAAGATCTTGCTGCTGCTACACATGCTGTGGAGGTGAGTTGTGGGTTAAGTACAGTTTGTGTTTCATAAATGTGTTATTCTTGCTGGTAGACAGCCGTGAATAGTTTTTTAATTTTTCCTTGATGAGTAGGAACTCATGTACAAGATTCGGGAAATAAAATCCAAAGCTGAGCAGAGTGAGACGATGGTTCAGGAAATATGTCGTGACATCAAGAAGTTGGATTTTGCAAAGAAGCATATAACAACCACAATTACAGCTCTGCATCGTCTCACTATGTTAGGTTGGTCATGCCAATAAAAACCCATTGCTGTAATTGGAACTATTAGTATGCAATAACTGGTGATTTTTGTTTTTTAAATTATTAACTACATCAAGCTCGTTGGAATAAGTCATTCAAATTGGATTGGTAGAGGTGTTGAGATGAGTTCTTGCAAGTCGATCAATATGATATTTTATTGCAAGGAAAAATTAAACTTGAAAAATAAAAGATAGCATTATATAGATTGGAAATATTGGCGGAACTTTTGATTGTGATAAAATTTACCTTTCATGTATAAGTTGTTTTATTGGAACAGAATCAAATAAAAAGTGAAAAAAAATCCCTGGAAAACCGGTATTTCAACCTCATGTGCAAATGCTTGTTTTCATCAAAACATGTGTTAATTTTTTATCATCTATATCCTAGCACATGGATGTGCACCTTTCTGAGCATCACACCTTGTCTTACTTCCAAAAGTCCCATCCCTAGGGGAGATGCAGTACTGTGAAATGCAACACTTTTTTCACTCTAGAGAAAGCAAAAATAAAATGTGATGAATCCTTTTATGTTTTATTTGAACATTTTGTGCATAAATTGGTGATATAACATGTTTTTTGGTTCTATGGCAGTGTCTGCTGTTGAGCAGCTTCAAGTGATGGCTTCCAAACGGCAATATAAGGAGGCAGCTGCCCAGCTGGAGGTACCTAATCTGCTAGGGAATCATTATATTTTTCTATTTTGGTGATTAAGAGGTTCTTTACTTTTTGTATGTCTAGTTGAACATTATCTCAATGATTTTCCTTTTCTTTTATTTCTGTGATTTCAGATAGAGACTAATGTATCTAGTTGAACATTATCTCAATGCTTTCCATTGGGGATGAACATGTGATTATCTTAGGACTTATTCAAATGAGTGAACTGCTCCTTTGCAGTCATTTACTAACTTACTGGGCCCACAACTTTGAGACATAGGAGACTTGTGATTCTCATATACTTCAGTATAAATGAATCGACATCCTTGAAATTTGTTTAGTAGGCGTATTGTTTACCCATTTGAATCTTCACCATGCAAACTCCCTTGGAAACTGAAGCCTTTCGATTATCAATGTCATGTCTAATATCTGGTCTCTACTGTCTCATTTGTCTATGGATCTGAATGTATTTCAAATATTTTTGGAGCTCTTTGCTGTTACTCTTTTGATTTGCATTTTGTTTAAAACATGCTGGTTCATGTTGAATTCCAGGCAGTAAATCAATTATGCAGTCATTTTGAAGCCTATAGGGATATACCAAAGATCACAGAGCTCAGGGAGAAGTTCAAAAATATTAAGCAACTACTCAAGTCACATGTATTTTCTGATTTCTCAAGGTATGCTCTTATGTTTCTTGATTGATGCACTTGTTAATCACGAAGAGAAATTGGATATTTTTAGCAGGGATTACAAATTTAAGTAATCCACACAAACCTGATAGGACCTAACCTTTGCCTGTGAGAACAGGAAAACCAATGCCTAAGTATGCTATTCAAAGATAATGATTTGACTGCCTATCCTCTGCCGTTGTGCTTGCCTTTTCTATCTGCATGCCTTGAACTTGAAGTATCTATGTTCAAGAATTTACAAGCCTGTAGGATTTTGGACTCGAGATTAATACCTATTAGGTTTGTGATTTGATTTCTGGGTACACATAATGCGGTTTAAAACCAGTTAAGTATGGTTTTAAACTATGCATGGGATTTGATATTTCTTTTTTGCATTATGTAAAAGTTGTAGATGATATGCATCTTGATTTTGATTGTAATTTTTTCCCGTGTTTGTAAAAGATATGTGAGTTGTTATAATATACTATTCAAAGCTGAGTTTCTCTTACAGTAATTTGCTTTTATATTTTGTTCTGTTTTAACATGCATATATTTTTGTTATTAATACACAATGAGTAATTTTCTTTTTGTAATAAAAATATATGGTGACTGTTTTCTTGGATTCAAGTCGGCTAACTGACCCACCCATCTTGTTATATCCAATTGAAGAATAATATGCTTTTCAACTTTTTTTAACTGCTGTGGATGTTTAAAACTTTTGCACAGTCATCTCATTTATAACCTAAATTTTGACTAGAGCTCTCTAGAAAACAAAACCAATGAAAAAAGTAAAATGAAAGAGAGCGAGCTGTTTCCAAAAGGCTGATAAATAAAAGGAAGAGCAACTTATCATATTCATGTTTCAAGTATTTTGCCATTGTCTATTCCTTCTACCTCTCTTGAGAAACACACTATCTATGTTTATTTCTCTTTTTCTGTGTTATTTTATCTCAGCTTAGGTACTGGAAAAGAAACAGAGGAAGCTAATTTACTTCAGCATTTATCTGATGCGTGCTTAGTTGTTGATGCTTTAGAGCCATCTGTGAGGGAAGAGTTGGTAAATAATTTTTGCAGCAGGGAGCTTACTTCCTATGAACAGATCTTTGAAGGAGCTGGTCTGTCACTCTTGTAATCCCTTTCTGTCGTGCCATTTTATTTTGTCCGTATCTTTTTTTAGTGCCATGCTTTTGTATATCCTTAATTTTGAAATTTCCGTATTCTCTATTTGACCAGAACTAGCTAAGCTGGATAAAACTGAACGAAGATATGCGTGGATCAAGCGTCGGATAAGAACAAATGAGGATACATGGAAGATCTTTCCTCCCTCATGGCATGTTCCTTACCGGCTCTGTATCCAATTCTGTAAGAAGACAAGGTGGGTCATTGTATTTTGGCATTGAACTTTAATAATTTTGAGTACGAGTAACATAATCTTTCTGGAATAACAGCAGTGCTTTATTTGTAGGATAATAATGTAAATAACCATAAAGTTTGTTTTCAATGTGTTACCAGGAAGCAACTGGAGGTGATACTTGATTATCTCAAAGAGAAGCCTGATGTTGGAACCTTGTTGATGGTAACCATTCTTTTGTTTTATACATTTTGCTGATTTTTTCTTGAAACAAGTCACAGTATAGCTGTGGATATTGTATTGAGTGTTACTTTATTCTTCATTTTCCATGTGAAATAAATTTCTTTCATAGTGATTTCTCCGGCATTGCTGATTTTTACTTTTCAGGCTCTGTTTTGAGTAGTTTTATCTTTATTTTAAGCAATTTGTAGCAAGTGTTTACTTGAAATGCTATGCAGCTCCATCTAGCTTTAATCCCTAAGAGACTGCATCACCACACAAAACCTTCATTTTGCTCTATCTAATATCTTGGATAAATCCTTGGCAATGTTAATAATGTTTAATTTCTTTAGCATGTAATTTTTTTTTTCAATTCTTTATTTCTTTATGACAGTTTGACCTCTCCTGATGTTATCTATGCTCTGAAAATTGTCTAAAGGCACTACAAAGAACTCGTGAATTTGAGGATGAATTGGCCGAGAAATTTGGAGGAGGCACTCGAAGTAGAGAGATTGGAAATGAGATTGAAGAAATTGGTAAAGAAAATAATGGTCAAAGCGTGTCAGATATTCGAAAGAAGTATGAAAAAAAGTTTGCTGCAAACCAAGGGAGCGTGCCTGAAGTATGCATTGAATTCTGCCTGATAAGTAATCAAAATATTGTTAAAATGGGTTATCAAGTTAATTGTCTCCCCTTCTGGTGTTCTGTGCTTGCAGGAGAAGGATGGAAATAAAGATTTGTCAGTGCCAGGAGCTGGGGTAGATATTCTCCTTATATGGTTCTGTCACGCATGGTTTAATAATAGCATTAAATATGCTTTATGATATGCATGGCTATTAATGCATATGCTGCATTGGACAGAAATTTGAAATTAGTGGTGATTTCCAAGCCCTTTAGGCAATCTTATTATGAAGTCTCTTAGTTATTGAGTCAAAATAGATTGTAGATTAATTATTATTCAGGGCTACAAGAATGATAAAAAAGATCCTCTGCTTGGATGCATCATGAAATTTTAATTCAATAAATATCTCCCTTTCAGCTCTCTGATATTTGGATCTTAGGATATTCATGTGGTCTTTCTGATTCAATTTTGATATTGACATTTTTTTACCTTACTACAGATTTTCTAATTTCTTGAAAATTGTCTGTGCTCATTGATTTTGCAGTTTAACTTCCATGGGATCATATCATCTTGCTTTGAACCTCATTTGATAGTATATATCGAACTGGAACAGAAAACACTGATGGAGAATCTGGAAAAACTTGTTCAGGTTGTTTGGCTATATCACCTCTCTACATATGCATCTTGACATGACCTGGTGCTTATTTTTCAATGAACTGTAATTTCTTATCACAGGAGGAAACATGGGATATCGAGGAGGGTGGTCAGAATAATGTCTTAACAAGTAGCATGCAGGTAAGCAGCTGGACATAAATTGTATTTCTCATCGTTGCTGTAACCACAATGTATTAACAGTAGTTATATATAATTTACAGATACCTGGCAGATGATTCCATGGTAGTTCGTATACCTTATTAACATTTTTTTTTGCACTGCTAACTAAATATTACACCCTTCTAGTTGTTTTCTCTTTTAGAACAAGTTGACTTATTTTCCTGGTGTGAGTTTCCTGTAATCATTAATTGTTATGCATTTATTTGCATTCAATTTACATCTCCAGATTGTGGAAGTGTAGATGGAAAACTCGTATGTTAGTTTGCTAGTGAAGCATACCTGGTATAATAAGCCTATACCTTATTATGCTAGTGTTATCTGCCTTGCATCAATCTCCAAAATTCTTCCCTTTCAGGCTGTGGTCATTTAAATGCTTCTTATACTTCATTAAGAGTGAAGTCTCAATCGATTTTAGATAGAATTTCTTGTTAACTTAGTTTTTCTTAAATGTGCAATTAACTAGATGCCTTTTCTTAGTGGCAGTGTTTTTTCTTTTTCAATTTATATTTTGATCGATTATAATAATTAATAGTTGGAAGAATAATGTTAACAGGGCCAGGTTATTAGACAGCCAACTGAATTATTCTCTCAAATGCTTATTGTAGTCTCAATTATGAACTGTCAACATTTCTGCTTGCCATTTAGTGTTCGATCCATGCATTATGTGTTTACAGATCTGCACTGTAGATTGTATCTGGAAAAGGCATGTTCTTGCCACAGCAAGGTGCTGAAATGGTTACCTTAACACTTGATCCGCCACTTATGCATGTCTGCTTAAGAATTTCACTGTAGCATTGTAGTCCAATGACATAGAACTCTGTTGTGTTTTCAGTTGTTTCTTATAATCAAGAGGAGTTTAAAGAGGTGTAGTAATCTCACAAAGAACCAGACATTATTAAATTTGTTCAAGGTACTTCGTCTGAATCCATATCTTGGTTTTCATTTATTATTGTCAGTGTTACAGTTGTAATAATTGAATATCTTAAATATTTGAATATAGAAATGCATTTTGAATTTATATGCACATGGGTGGTGACAGGATTTTAAAGAGAATTTTTCTAATTTCATGTAACATATACATGTCATTTGGAAACTATCACGAAAAATCTCTTTTCTATCCCATCAATGCACCTTGGAAAGTTTGTGATTTTAGGTTAGTTTCCTAAAGCTTTCATTCTAAACAAGAAACAATAACAATTCTAATGATTAACTTCATTGGAAGCTGTGAAAGCAGTTAAAAACAATTCAGACTCCAGTTCCTCAGATAGTTTCTCCTAGTCAGTAAGGCATTCCAAGATGTTGGAACTTGTGTGGTTGCTATTGCACAATAGGTGATTTCAAGTTTTAAACCATAACTTAATTGGAAAATGGATTCTACAGATTGTCTTGTGTTCAACTGACCTCGAAGCTGATGAGATGGCCTCTGTCATACAAGTATAGAAAATATTGGAGTTGGCTTATCCTATTTTCCTTGCATCATTAGGTATTTGAAAGAGTTCTCAAAGCATATGCAGCAAAGCTAAAGGCAAGACTACCTAAGGGTGGTATGGGGATTGTTGCAGCAGCCACGGGTATGGATGGACAAATAAAGGTATCAGCTTATGTATCAGAATTTCATAATTGCTTAAATCTGGTTATCTTTTACATAAACTATTTGCATTTTGCTTATAATTTCATTTTGGACAGACATCTGACAGAGATGAAAGGGTGATTTGTCTCATTGTCAATTCAGCTGAATACTGCCAAATAACGGTCAGTCAGTTTCTCTGTTCGTTACTTTTCTCTGCAATTGTTTTGTATTGCATTTCTGTCTATCTTTTCATGTCATTTTGTGGCAGAAGTATATGTAAAGGACAAAAAATTTGAATCTCCAGAAAAACCCCCACCACAATTCATTATCAAAGGTGTTTTTGTTTTTCCCATATTCTTCAACTAGTTAGAGCAAAGCCACCTGCACAAGAAAATTAAGTTCCAAGGTTGCAGTAAATCATGAACCAACATTTACAACTCTATATCTGAAGCCTCATTAGTTATATGATGACATTCAGTAGATTTGCAATGCATGAACTTTTGAATAGGAATTACAGAAAAACAAAAAACAGTAAATGGAAGTGGACAAAGGAGTTTTCTCAACTGGTCATACTAAAGCGTGGTCCATGAACACAATTCAACTTTTCTGACTAGAGGCATTTCAATTGTCGACTTTGAGTTTGAAAAGTATGATAATCAAAATGTATACTGATGGTTATATTTTTCCGAAATTAAAACCATGTTTTGTATCTAAATCAGTAACAAGAATTTGGCCTTTATAGCTGACCTAATTTTAAGTTTCAGGAAAAGATGTTTCAGCAGTTATGATTCAAGTGGCTTGTCATAATTGATTCCTATGGTAACTGAAGTATCAGTTGCCTATGTGCTATTGTACATTTACCAAACTTCATCACTGTGTTTTTCTGACGCACCAAACTGCAATATTGGGTGTTCAGTCATGCTTTCCAATACAGGTGGCATGTAAATGCTATTAATGAAAGCCTATTCTCAAAAACATTAAGTTTGTTTGATGCTTGCTTCCTCTGATTGGAAGTGATGGATGTACCATCAGCATCAAGTTGGCTATTCATTTGTCCTTGTTACAGGTGATGCTTTGAAGTCTTCATAATCTTGCTTTAATTTTCTTGACAGTCCGGTGAACTGGCTGAAAGTGTATCCAAGATAATCGATCATCAATTAGCTACTGGAGTGGATATGTCAGCAGTTGAGGTACTACCCATCCATCAATAGATTCTGTCATAGAAATTCTGCTTTTCATATATATAGCATGGGAGTCATTCGATTGTGCAGGAAGAATTTTCAGGGCTTATTACAGAGGCATTAATGACCCTAGTGCATGGCCTGGAAACTAAATTTGATGCTGAAATGGCTGCAATGACACGTGTTCCATGGGCAACACTTGAAAGTGTTGGCGACCAATCAGAGTAATCTGCTTTGTTTAAAATTCTAATCTTGAGTACTTGGGTTGGATATAAATTCCATAAATAACAGAACTATCTTTCCGCAGGTATGTGAATGGCATAAATATGATCCTCTCAAGCAGCATTCCGGCACTAGGAAGACTTCTTTCACCGATACATTTCCAGTACTTCTTGGACAAGGTGATTGGAGTGGGAGAGTTCATGATGATGATATTGCTATCTTGGCCTTAGAAACTTAGTGCATTATTTACCGTAGATCATTATTTGGTTTCTTTTTCCCATTTATGGCATGTTATGTTTTTTATCTAACTTAATGTACATTCAGCATCATTTATTGAGGATGATGCCACCCTTTTCTTTGGTTATCCCATGACCTTTCATGGTTAATACATCTCTTCCGCTCAAAGTGATCATTTTGATATTTTTGTCCAGCTTGCATCATCCCTTGGCCCACGCTTCTTTGCTAACATTTTCAAATGCAAGCAAATATCAGAAACTGGAGCCCAACAAGTAAGGACTATTTTGATTGTTTCTTTAGTTTGTTGGCTTCAATGACTAAAATTCAAGGATTGGTAATTCATGCATCTAGCTATAACGCAGCCATTAGTTACATTATGCGATGCAAGGTTTTCTTTGTTTTGGCATTTGGGTTGCATCCCTTGCACCAACTGAAATTTGTTTGTCTTCAATAATTTTTTCTTCTATGAAATTCAAATTTCTTAGTCCATGCATTAGTGCTTGCAAACTAGTTGACAATTTAAGCTTGTAATTTGTATAAAGATTTGCATGGTGTTTGTTAAGCTTGACCACCTAGTCTGCTATTTATTGATTTAGCTGTCTATATTTCCTTTTTAAATATATGCTGCTGTCTATCTTATCAGAAAACTTCTATACAATCACATGAGTGAGATAGAATTTTTTTAACTGGCTTATGGCCTTTGAAAAGATTATACAAGTAAGAAAATAATCTGTTTTATTCATGTTTGTGAAAATAATGGCTTAAAAAAATCCTCAGAACCATATTATTTATTGTTTAATGTAATTCAGATATTACAAATGGCATGATGCAATTGCAGATGCTTCTAGATACCCAAGCTGTCAAGACAATTCTTCTGGAGGTTCCTTCCCTTGGTCGACAGGTGAGTTAGCTCTCCCATATAAACATTTGTACATTACGCATGCTCATAGAGCAGTGGTAGAATTTAAGAATTTGCATACTGTTTGGATTGAAGCTTTCCAGCTTTGGAAGGTGCTATACTTCAGTAACCATAGCTCTTATGGAGCCCTATTGCCCGGATCTGCAGAATATGATTGTATGGGCCTTGTTACCCAAACTAAGCTGTTTTTCTTTGTTTTATTTTGTTCAAACAGACATCAAGTGCTGCTAGCTATTCGAAGTTTGTTAGCCGTGAGATGAGTAAAGCTGAAGCACTTTTGAAGGTTTGTAATGAACTTTATGATGGTTTTTACTTTACAGCTCATTTGCAGTTTTTTTTTTTTGTTCCTAATACAAAGTAATTTTCATTTTACAGGTTATACTCTCCCCAGTTGATTCTGTAGCAGATACATATAGGGCACTGCTACCAGAGGGAACACCAATGGAGTTCCAGCGAATTCTGGAGCTAAAGGTTACTTGTTCTCTCGCCCTTTTCTTTCATTTCCTTTTCTCCCCCTTAAGAAGAGACTAATGCAATTTGATTCTGCAGAGAGGCCAAAAAATATTAACCTCGTGTGGATTCAGTTCCAACTTTTTTTTCATTTTGTTTATACTTCTTTAGGAAGTAAAACTGCGTGATTTCTCATGCGTGCTTAATTCGGAACACAAGTTTTATTCCCACTTAAAAATGAGAAAGGAATGCATATTTGGTTCCACAATCACGGATACTTTTACCTGTCAAACTACGGTATATGGCAATTCCTGCTTTCTAGTTGTGTGTTACCGCAGTTTCTAATAAAATCAACAGGTTCAAATTCTGTGTTTGCCTCAACAACTTTCACGTTTCTGAACACCTTAGTAGTTAAACTTTTCAAGCAAGTCTGCCATTTTTTTTAAATCAAATTTCTTTTTTCTGACGCACTCTTCATCATGCTTGGTTTGATCAGGGTCTTAAAAAAGCAGATCAGCAGACTATACTTGACGACTTCAACAAGCACAGCCCTGCAATTGCTCAACCTTCAATTGCACCAGCTGCCGCACCAGCTGCCCCCCCTGTTCCTGCAAGTCCTGCAATTGCCAACTCTACAGCTGGATTTATTGCTTCCCGAGAAGATGTACTTGCTAGAGCTGCTGCACTTGGACGTGGCGCTGCCACAACCGGTTTCAAACGGTTCCTTGCTCTAACTGAAGCAGCAAAAGACCGGAAGGATGGCCCGTTTAGAAAACTCTTCAATGCATGAAATTCACGCAATATTGTACGTGTACATGAGGCGCTCGTTCATCTTTCGTTTTTCTGTAAGTTCATAGGTTTCATCACTTTTTGGTCACATAATGATGTCAACAACTACCTATAAATTTTGTGTACGAGAAAAGAGTCGGTTCTTCAGAAAATCCCCCTCCATTTGCCCCTTTCGGCTACAAGAGTATAGGTAAAAGTTGAAGCCAAGCCATATTTTGCTTTTGCATGAATGGATTACTTACAGCATCTTTGTAGACTTCTGAATTGAAATTTGGAGGTTCTAATAAAATTTCATTTTTAGAATTATTTTGGGAGTTAATAATTGAATTTCAAATAGAATTTAATTTAAAAAAATGATACAAAGGTAAATTAGAAATTAATTTAATATTAAAATTAGCTTTTCTAAAATATTTTTCTTTTTCTGTCTTCCAAAAAAAGATGGTGAAATTAATATTAAAAACGAATTGATTTGAATTCTATTTATTTTAAATATATAAATTTATTTATCAATTATATTCAAATTGAATTAATTATTCAATAATTAAATTATAATAAGGAATTTGAATTGCCTTCAAATAACCCGTTACTTATCTCCTAATTATTTTGTCATCTCTCAGGAGGGAAACCACGCAAGCTGTCTCTGTCTAGGTATCGGCCTTTTATTACAAGATCTCTATGTTCATTTTTTATATTGACAAGCAGGGATCAGCCAGAGCCACCACCACTGGTCCTTCCATAGCTTGAAACTAGCAGTGTTCATCATAGTATTAGATTGGCTTTTAGGTCCATTAGGGTTCTTGATTTAAGATTATATACAGACACGCACCGCAGTGCTTGTTTTTCTCTTATTTAGACAAGAGAGATGGATAAAATAATTTAATCAAATACTTATCGTATGATTAAAAATTTTGGCTAGTTATTTTAGGATGAGTATAACAGAATTGAACCTGAGTTGTTTATCAATTGGACCCCAATTGCACCGGATCCAAAATTTGGTAAACACTCATGTTTTACCGGAACCAAGACCCACCAAAAGTAGTCAGAAAATAGACCGAATTTTATTATAATTGCAAGTGTCAAAAAAATTTATATAAGAAAATGCGAGGATAAATTTATTTTATTTTTAAAAAAACTACTTTTGATAATTTTTAAATAAATTAACAATATTTCACCTTTCCTGACTCAAACCGTTATACATGACAGATCAAAGGAGATCAACAAAACGAACAACGATTGTTCATTTTTCAAAATATCATAAAATATTTTACAAATAAACATTTTTTGAATGGAAAGAAATTCCTGGAAAACAGATTTAATAAAATTGACATCAGGATTATGGGCAACTGTTACTATTAGTTCGAGTGGTCCTCAGTACAAAAAATGGTGAAGCATAGAAACAGCTGGGAAAATTTCCTAAACTAGAAAGCTTGATTACATATAAAAGCTCTTCTCTATTTATCTGAATCACAGTCACCTTGTTTTTCACTTCATAATATAAACAGCAAACCATTTGCTTTTTCAAATTAAAAATAGCTAAACCTACTAGTAAACATTCCTCTCACCAACTGAAGCCCAGAGAGCCACGCAGCCCTTCTTCTGCACACAACTGTATCCTGATCTCCATTTTCTTTCGGATGCAATTCTTGCCTCTTCATCTGTGATGCAAGCCATTAGATGTTATAGAATACGAATCTTTCGAGTGCAAGCAATTGACAAGGTGATCTCTTAGGTAGTGTTTGATTAGAGACAAGAACATGTCTTCCTATGACTTTTGTTTTGAAAAGACGTAATACACTTCAAAACTATTTTGGAAACGGTTTATTTAGTCTCTATCTCCGTCCCTTTAATCAAACACATTTCCATCACGTAACTGCAAGTAATTAGGACAAAAGGAGACGGGCTGCTAATGATCGTCCCCATAAAAATTCAAATGATCAAATGGGGAGGCAGAGATCACCACCACAGTGCAAATAGGTGTATGGGATTCCCAACTAAGGGTTACTAGTTGAAGGGAAATGCTCCAAGTCCTCTTACCTCAAATGTTTTTTGCACTACAGATGTGTAAAGCCATTAATTTGATAGTTCTACTTTAGGTATTAAGAGCTCAGTACAAGATTGCCCTACAGAGTACTTTAGTATTCGATTGAAGAAAGACACAATATCAGCAGGGATTCAACTAATAGATAAATGGCACATCTTCTGGACTCCTTGGGATTGTATCTATTAGAAAATTCACACATGGAACTACTCAAGTTAAAATATTATGTTACCAAGGGAGCAGTGAGAAGAGTTTGGTAGGAGCAAGTGTTATACCATTTCATGAAGTCAGAATTGTATTCTCTTGCTGTTCATGCCATCACTTCCTGGAGTCTCCAAAGCCCGCAGATTGTCTAAAATGATAATCATTCTGTGATCTATTGGTTAGGCCTGAATTGTTGCCAAATCCATAAGAACGGCCCGAACCAGAGTCCCCAAAACTGCTAGAACGGCCTGAACCGAAGTCCCCAAAATTACTGGAGCGGTCTGTTCTTGACTCGCCAAAGTTACTAGAGCGGCCAAAATTCCCTGATTGGTTTCTGTTATAGCCATTGCGACTTGATCCTGAAAACTGACCATCAGAGCGGCCAAAACCAGAATTCCTAAAGCCTTGCCCAGATCCATAATTCCCCTGACCACCATATCGGCCACCATCACCAAATCCTCTTGGACTTCCAAATGAATTAAATCGTCCACGACCCATGTCATTGTACATGTCTATGCTTTCACCATCAACAGTGATCTTAGGGAGCTGAAAAACACCATAATGAGGACACCCTTTTTGATTGAGGTCAATCAAAAATAGATCAAACATGTGGAACCTTGTAAAAACCAGAACATGCACATTGCAAAGGACTCCCACACCACATACATGGAAGCAGCTACATCAAAGTTGTGCATCAACTTGTATTGAACAAAAATAAAAAAAATAAAAAGGATGTTCTCAAAAGTTATGGCATGGATCCTTGTGGAATGGAGGTCAGTACAATACTAATGTGGCAATCAGCATATACTTACTTCCAGGTTATGTATATTTACTCAATTAGATAGAACTGGGCATGAATCACGTAAAAAAGCCTGTCATGATCTGTACATTGCATGAGTCTGATTCTAAAAAATGCTGGAGTAAACTATATGCATGTCATTTTCTGAAAATTCACAATTGAAACTTGGTGACCTGGCATTTTACACATCCAAAACATTTGGAACATAAAGATGGGTTAAAGGAGATTGATGGTTACCTCTAAAAATTTGCACCCTGTGTCGCGTTCAATTATCCGGACTTGCCTGCTCTCATCTTGAGTATAAATAAGAATTGCAGTTCCTTTCTTCCCAGCACGACCAGTACGGCCAGATCGATGAACAAAGGTCTCTGAACATCTCGGAAGTGCATAATGTATTATCTGAGCAAGCAGTGGATGGGAATGCAAATGAGAACATAAGAATGGAATGGCAGGCCAAGGAATGACAACTTGCTAAATAGCTATTTGAGTTGCTTACAATTGGTTTCAAAATATAGTTGACACATGGAAGATTTCAAAGAATATGATCTTCTGTGTTTGTGATGGGTGATGGTTTGAGAAATTTGGGGCTTGGGAGCACGAATTTAAGGTATGAAGCTTTAGGGTCTCGCAGTTTTGAAAGAACTTGAACCAAATTAAGTTAGAAGATCAGAAAAAAAGCTTTCAATACATGGAATTGTGAGATCTAATTGCAGATGCTATTGCAATGGTGGATTGAGTTATAGCAACAGAAGGACAGAATTTGGAGGCTACATGTTGCATAACATTAAAGCTAAAGCTCTCTACAATCAAATAATTATTTGTACCAGAACTACAACAGTAAGATGTGAAATAATATAGCTCACCAGATCAACATTAGGGACATCAAGACCACGTGCCGCAACATCAGTGGCAACTAAAATATTGAAATGGCCCTCTCGGAAGCCTGAAAGTGTCCTTTCTCTCACACTCTGTGAAATATCACCATGCAACGCCTCACATTTATAGGTTTTTGCCATGGCATATGCTAATCGATCAGCATCACGCTTTGTCTCAGTGAAAACAATGCATTTTCCTCCTTTAGCATGTTCCTAAGAAAATACATATCCGAAGTTGAGAAAGCAAAATTGTTGTTAGGGTGAAAGTGAAAGGAACAATCATTATTAAGTTTCTCCACCATGTGCAGTTCGCATGATAGAAGCTCATTAAGAGGTTAAGGAAAAATTAAAAAACAACAACCAATAGGAGCTCATGAGACATACTGTAATCAGAGGACCAAGAATCGATGCTTTTGCATACAAGTCTGAGGCAATTGAATAGAGGGTAATTCCTTCAGCCAGTTTTTTATCAGAATCTCCAACCTAAAATACATTTTATTTGTTAGAAACTGCAAGCAGTAATGAAACAAAGTCGCACAAACACATCAACAACAGAAACTACTCAACCATGCGGATAAAAATAAAGGCCCAGGCTTTGCAGAAACCCGGTCAACACTAATATCACATAAGAAATTATGGTGCCCACATGCAGCTATTCAACTCTCCATGCAAATCCCCATACTTACAAGATCAATAGTCAGAGGATCTTTTAGATACTTCCTAACAAGTTCTCTGATCCAACTTGGCATTGTAGCAGAGAAGCACATACTATGCCGTTTCCGAGGCACACTCAACAAGATTGTCTCAATATCATCAACAAATCCCACACCAAGCATCTGATCAGCTTCATCAAGAACAACATGCTGAACTTCTGACAAAACCAGTGAGCCCCTCTTCATCAGATCAATCATACGACCAGGTGTGCCAACAACAACATCAACACCATATTCAAGATCCCTCATTTGTCGTGAAATAGGAGTACCCCCATATAAACAAGTAATATCCAAACTAGGTGCAGCCTCACGAAACTCCTTCTCTACTTGTCTTGCAAGTTCTCTTGTTGGAGCCATAACCATTCCCAATGGGTACCTCCCTCTCCTACACAAACCCAACGCAAACCAGCCAAGTAAAAAACCCAAAAAAAAAAGGAAATCAAATTCAATAAAAATAAAATCCACCTGTGGCAGTAAATTAACACAATAAATGAACAAACCCGTGTTGCGCATTGAATTGTAAAATTTTATCAAGTATAGGAATTCCAAAAGCAAGTGTTTTTCCTGTTCCAGTTCGAGCTCGACCAAACATGTCCTTCCCTTGCATAGCCGGTTCAAGCACAGCTCTCTACATTAAAAAAAAAACAAAACAAAACAGAAAACAGAAAAAAAAAATCAAACTTCTTTCATTCAATTATTAGCTAAAAAAAATTCATTGAAATAATATAATTACCAACAAAGTATCAAAACTTAATTAGAATACACAAAAAACATTCATGTAATTGTTCACAAAAAAAATTATAAGAAATACATTTCCCAGTAAGTATAAAAATCGCAAAGTCAATCAAATTTTCATTTAATCACAACAAAAAAACAAAACTTTAATTAATATTAAAAAAAACCCAAATTTTCATTTTCTTAAAACGGAAATGATAAAATTACCTGAATGGGAAACAATTTCGTGATCCCTTTTTTAGCTAAAGCGCCGACAATCTCTTGAGAAATCCCTAATCTTGAAATTTCAAGCCCCTCTTCATTCCCTTTCCCTTCATCGTAGCCATAATCAGGTACAGCGTTAAAAGTTTCAGTCACCGAACTCGCCTTAAAATCCAACGGCCCAGATTTGACATGAAAGTCTCTAGCTTTGATTAGAGAAGCAAGAAAAGAAGAAAAGGGTCTAATCTCACCGGAGAGAGACCCGTTTCTGAGAGGAATTGGTGACGCGGTGGTGGTTAATTGGTGTTGTAGAAGTGTTACGAGGGCTAAAGCCCGATTTGGGGCTAGTACAGAAGAAGAAGAAGTTCTTCTTAGAACTGTTGATAACATTTTTAGGGTTTTGGAAATTTGAGTGAGAAACCCTAAATCTGATTCGGGGATTTCTTAGGGTTTAAGAGGATACAAAGAGTGGCGGAGACTGGAGAGAGGGGATTGCCAAGGTTTTACGAGGGAGGGAGGCGATAGGGAAGATATTTATGATGGTTTGATCATGTGGTATTCAGAGGGTTTAAGAGTTGGTGCAATATCATTTGGGCTTTTGACACGTGGAAAGAGTTCTAGTGGGGCCGATTTTATTTGCCTTGAAAAAGAATGAACTAAGCGGAGCGGAGGAGTACAGATTAAAAATATTATAAATAAAGGGTGAAAGGGGTGATTTTAGGATTAAATTATTTTGTGCAAGGTTTTTTTTTTTTACAAAAATTCCCGATTAATAAATGGAGGGGTAGAGATTAAAAATGTTGCAAATAAAGGGAAAAAAGGGTGAAGTTTAGGATTATTTTGTTCAATTTTTTTTACAAAAAATTTTATTTTATATTTTTCTATTTATAGATTGATTGAAGATGGGTTTATTATATATTTTTTTATTGCAAGTCAATCTACTAATATTGTTGAAGATTTTATAACCTTACAAGCATTACTTATAATCCATTAACAATTAAATATTCAAAATAATTGGCACATTCAGAGAGTCATATGGATAATATACACATATACATATATTAAAATAAATAACTTTTGAGATTAAATGGGTTGATATTAATATCATAGTCAAATTCTTGAACAATATTAATTTTTTTAATATGTACTTGAACATCATTAAATTTAGATATAATATTTTAAAATTCATTTGGCTTTAAAAAATATCAAATTAATAATTTTTCAAATGTAGCCTATGTGAACAAGGGAGAGGCCCTATACACTATGCGATCCAAGAAACAAGAGGAGAAATCCAACGGCTCCCTCTCTGTATTTCTTCAAGCATTCAATCTTCTCATGATTCAGCTGGATTTCCTTGCAGTGTATAAATGTTGTTGGAGGCTATTTTAAAATAATGGTTCTATTTTATAAAATCTTGAATTTGAAAGATAGTATAATTATCAACTCGATGATTGATTTGAATAAAATACTAAAATACTATCCAAGTTAATTATTTTAGTTAAAATAGTGTTTTTTTTTTTGTAAATATTCTTGAAGTTAGTCTAATAGGGTAAATATATCACTAAAAATCTAGTTAAATCAGCCAAGTTTCGCTACCAATTCTTTTTTTTTTAAAAAGCAATTTATAACTCACGAACTTTGAGTCACAAATTTTATTTATGGGTTAATTTGTTGGGCTCAACAGATTTAATAACTACGAGGATACCTTATCATGGAGACTTGAACACCGTTAGAAGAATTTATTATTATTATTATTTATATAATAAAACACGCGTGATTTTAACTGCATTTATTAGTGTAAAATTTTATTTATTTCTCCGGTTCTAATAGCTGGGCCAAAAATGAGCACAAGACCAATGTGTTTTTTCAAATATTTTTTATTTGTTTGCTAATGCACACCCAACTATTTTGGGTATCGTCTTGGGTATCATATAATTACCGTATTTAAAGATATTAAATTTGGTATCTCAATCCTTGGCTTTGATATAGTTGTTATTAAAATTATTATATCTTGTATATCATACTTAAATATTTTTTATTTGTTTGTTCATACAAACTCAATTTTATTTATTTCTCTGGATTGATTCTAATAAATGAATTTATTTTATTTAAAATTTAAATTTATAATTGGTTAAGAGAAAACTAGCCAACTTGCTAGATTAATCAAGAACTTCTGTAATATTTCAAAACTTGATAAATATTTATTTATTTTAAATGTATTTTTTTTCTAATTAGAAATTTTTTATATATATGTATATTTTTTAGTTGCTTACTAGCTCATTTCAAGGTTTACTATATAAATACTAAAAGAATATTTTATTTTTTTAATATGAAATTTAAAATCCTATATTATATATATTTTATGCTTACAAGAAAAAAATTATATTTTTATAATATGAGATAAAAAAAATTTAATTTTAATTTTTTAATTTTAAAAAATAAGATAATATCTTTTTTAATGTAGAATAAAAAATATTTTAAAATAATATTTTAAATTTAATTATTTACAACATATATAACCCATATCCATATGAACTGTTTTTAAATTTTTTTTATATGAAATATCAAAACCTAGAATATTTTTTTGTTAATTTTTCGGGTTGACCTGAGTTAACCCATATAACCTGAGACCTCGCTTCTTGATTAAGTTAATCCCTGAACAAGATTTGATAATTATGGTTATCATGAAAATATAATTTTAAAGAATATAATTAAAAAGAAATAAAGTGATGTGATCAATTAAAAAATAAAAAATAATTGTTTTTTCTTTTATTTTGTTTAAAAGATCTCTTTTCAATAATATTGATTTTTTTTATATGTTTAATTTTTAGAGTGATTTTTTTGGTTCCTTTATGATTTTGTTTTTATTTTCTATATAAATAATTTTTTTTAAAAAATAAAAAATATTTATTTTTATATAATATTTTTAATGCGTGTAGCCTTACATGTTATGTTTTTTTATTCAATTAATTTAATATTTTTTTTAAAATTCAATATTTTGATCTACATTTATTTCTTAGTTTTGTAACTTTTATTTTTAATTGTTATTAATAATTTTTTATTAATTTATTAACACACATAAATCTATAATTATTTTAATTAAATATGTATATAAATTTTTTAATTTATTATATTTTTTTAACTAAAAGTATTAAAAAAACTTGTATAAATAATTTTTTTATAAAAAATAAAAATACATCACCCGAGGGTCACTTAACCAGTTCAATTAATAAAAACGTAGACCAGCGTGGACTGGCCACGCAGCCATAGGTCATCGCTTACGTGTGATATATAAATAAATGTAGACACAGAGAGATTATATCAAAGCAGTCCTTGAGCTTTTAAGTTTTTTGTGTCTGCCCCATAATGTTGCCTTCCAATTTGCGGTCCAACCCTCCCATAACTAGTAGGAAAAACAAGTAAAACAAAAGGCTGTCCGAAAATAATGGGTAGAGCCCAGGAACTGGCAAGAAAAGCAGGGAGAAAGTGAGATTTTGCTGAAGTGTAGTGGCCACATAGCAAAAGCAAGAGTCAATGTGTTGTCTACAAAGGCATCGAGCTATGATCGATGGAGTAAAGAAAACACAACATGGCAGAAGAAGTCAAGGTGTTTAGGACATGGTCAAGTTCATTTGCTCTGAGAGTCATCTGGGCACTGAAATTGAAGGGTGTTGAGTTTGATACCATATATGAAGATCTCTCCAACAAGAGCCCTTTACTCTTGCAATACAATCCTATCTACAAGAAGGTTCCCGTGCTTGTCCACAACGGTAAAGTCATCTGTGAATCACTTGTCATTCTAGAATACATCGACGAGACATGGAAGCAAAATCCTCTGTTGCCTGAAGATCCTCACCAGCAAGCCAATGCTCGTTTCTGGGCCAAGTTTGGTGATGATAAGGTAATTGTTTAGGTCCTCTGTCCCTTCCATAATAATCAGTGATTTATATGATTGAATTGCCTGAACTTGATCAAACATGAATTGATTTGAAGCAACCTTGCTTTGCGCGTGGTTGCAGGTTTTGCAATCAATTGTGGGGGATGTGCTTATGAAGGAGGGAAAAGAGCTAGAAGAAGGGGTCCTTGCATCCTTGGAGAACTTGAAATATTTAGAAGAAGAGATAAGAGGAAAGAAATTCTTTGGTGGGGAGACTATTGGGCTAGCGGATATTGCATTAGGATGGCTTGCTTACTACCTTGGTATCTTTGAGGAGATACTAGGTCTGATACTGATAGACCAGGAAAAGTTTCCATCCTTAGCGGCATGGAAGCAGGAATTTGCAAATGCTCCAATCATCCATGAGAACTGGCCGGATAGAGACAAGCTGGTTAACAAGTTTGTTGCCATGCGTGAGGCCAAACTTGGAAAAGAAGCACCTAAATAAATGGTTTATGCAGTTTAATTTGCAGACCTTTAATGCTACTAGAACATATGAATAATTCAGATAGATGCAAATCACCTTTGATAGTGATCCCTGCTATTGTTAGTTTCCTGTGGGTAGCTGGAGCTTCATCTTGAAGCCAATGATCAGAATCATGCATGTTATTGTCTCTGCTATGTTGTCCAATGAAGGAAATAAAAAACTCTCTTAAGTTATTTTCAAATGGCTTCAGCAGTGTCAAGATCAGCTTCAAATTCCACATGATGGACAGGCAATGGAGAGTTTCAAGAAAACAATTATGAAAGAACTCTCTTAATGTAGTAAACTTCGACCGTGAGCCATTTTTTGTGATTCGATCCGATAGTATTTTGCCGAGGAAATGGCACTGAAAAGAATCTGAAAAACAGATTGAAATTTCTTCAACAAAAGAACAGATTTTTCTCATCTGATTTAGTTTCAGGAACATATAACAGGGAATTTTCTTTCATTGCATCTTCACCATTCTGCAACTGTGATTTCCCCAGCATTAATTAAAAATTGGTGAAAGTTGGGAATTGTTTGAGATCAGACAATGTGTCACATAATGGATCGTGGATCAACTCGTGTCATCTGTGCTATATCGCTTCTCCTGTTTAGTCAAGAATTCTGTAACCGTTTTCAATTCGTACACCATTTTTTCCAAACTCGACTTTATGCAGTAAGAATAACTCTACGTGGAATTTGTTACATTGATGTGCGTTACACCTGGAGTAAACTTGAAAACATAACGTATCCTAGTGCCTGGGATGTGACGAGCCCTATTTGCAGATCATAACTGCTGAAATTTAGGTTTTTTATTTTTAGTTTTTTGCCAGAACTGGATTCTTATAGTTGCAAAAGAACTGCGATGATCAATTTCCTGCGTTTGTCTTTCACTTGACATGGTTATGTTTTGTTGTGCAGCCATGGATTGTTCGATAAGAGATTCATCACTTCGAAATTGGTGACCATGATGTTAGAGAAGGAAAATATGTCAAGCCACGCAGAGATTGTGAGTACTGCAATGAAGAGCTTGGAGTTCATAGCTCAAATGGGCTAGTTACCACATTCAATGGCAATGATGTGGATGGCACCATCACAGAAACAAGGATATTTCAGTTTCTTAGTTATTCAGGTGACAAAGACAACTTGAAGATTCAGACTATTTGTTTTTGGCTAAAGTTTCCAGATTGAAAGGTCCAAACCTTAAAAGAAGTCCGGACGAACTAAACGAGCTTGTTGACGGAAACAGGACAAAAGGAATTTAATTATGAAGGAAACATAAATAGCAAAAAATACTTGGATTTGTAGCCTATGCTTTTTATGCTACGATGAAATATATATTCTACAGATTGGAAGAGCAGGACTGCTAGTTTCAATTTCATTAAGCAGTCTCAAGTTATTTTAAAAAGTAATATAAAATTATTTTTAAGATTTTATCTATCAATTTAAATTTTTATTTGAGTTAAGATAGTTTCTTGATATTACATCAAACACGAATTTGATTTTCACATCTGGTTCGTGCAAGATAAGTTTCAAGCCTGGAAAGTTGTTATTGAGGAGATTTATTAGAGGTTAATATAAAACTATTATTGAGGTATCACCTCGCTGATTTGGAGTTAAAAATATTTATTTGACACACAAGGCACGCAAAAACTAGAGAACTGGTCAAGGGGAGAAAGGAAACTAGAAATTCTTTTTTTGAAAAAAAATTATATTCGTTTTCACTTGCATCTTTGAACATGTCTACTACAGTAATATCACCAATTAATTAACAACTGGTGGAAGTTAGGACCAACATGAGATCAGATATTGCGTCACATGATGGCGGATACATCACCACATATGTCATCAGTTGTTCTGTTCCGGGTGGAGCCACTCACGATTTACTCAACTTTTTTTCCGACTTCATTACAGACTTTCTTGCTTTACTCAACTTTTTTTCCGACTTCATTACTTCATTACAGACTTTCTTGTCTTAATATGAAGTCTTTCATGACGTTTATGATCCAAAACTGTGACCACATTTATTTTATTTCCAGTCTTGATCCCCCATAGAAGCCTCCTGGAATCACTATATATACACTTCGTTATATGCAAGGCCCTATCCACAGCTGCTGCTTATCCCTTCTCTTCCTGCTCTGCGCTGAGCATTTATCCTAGCTCTAGAGCATCTTACAGGTCCAATCTCCTAGATTTCTCTTTGTATTTCTCGGTGAACTTTCCAGTTGCTGATTCTTTCACTGAATCTGAATTAACGTGATGAGTAAATTCTATGCAGGTCATTGTTGAAGTTCTGCTTCATTGCTTAGAGAGAACTGGAGGATGGCTTCAGATAAGAGTGAGAATTGCCTTGCCTGGGCTGCAAAAGATGAATCAGGAGTTCTGTCCCCGTATGAATTTAAAAGAAGGTATGAATATCATATATAACGATAATGGCAATGAAAGAACTCATAGTCCTCGATGTTATTAACATATATTCAACTACTAATTGACTGTGAAAACTTCTGCAGGGATGTTGGGAAAGATGACATTTCAGTAAAAATAACACACTGTGGAATTTGCTATGCAGATGTTCTCTATACCAGGAACAAATTCAAAAAGTCATTATACCCAGTTGTGCCAGGGTGTGTAAAAGAATAATATAAATTATTTCTTATTACCTTACTAGATTAAGTTTATGAAATGAGATATTTCCTTGATATAATATCTCAGTCTTAGTAAGGTAGTGATGAACTTGTGCTGATGAGAAGGGAATATCACGGGGAATTTCTTGTTTTTCATTCTCCTTCAATTGACATGCTTATGATGTTTTATTTTGTTCAGTCATGAGATAGTTGGAACTGTTCAAGAGGTTGGATCTGATGTTCAACGCTTCAAAATGGGCGACCATGTCGGAGTGGGAACATTTATCAATTCATGCAGGGATTGTGAGTATTGTAACGATGGGCTCGAAGTGCATTGTGCAAATGGAGTTATTACCACCTTTAACAGTGTTGATGTCGATGGCACCATCACAAAAGGAGGGTACTCCAGTTTTATTGTTGTTCACGAAAGGTGTGCATACCTTTGGACTTTAGAATTCGCAGTGTGTGAAGCACATGATACATAAAATAACTTTCTTGTTGTCTTTAACAGATACTGCCACAGAATACCTGACGGTTATCCACTAGCTTTAGCAGCACCATTGCTGTGCGCTGGCATAACAGTCTACACTCCCATGATTCGTCACAAGATGAACCAACCTGGAAAATCCCTCGGGGTGATTGGACTAGGCGGCCTTGGTCACATGGCTGTGAAGTTTGGGAAGGCTTTTGGAATGAATGTCACAGTTTTCAGCACAAGCATATCGAAAAAAGAGGAAGCCTTGAATCTGCTTGGAGCAGACAACTTTGTAGTCTCGTCGGACACGGAGCAAATGAAGGTACGCAGTCCGATGAGTTTTCTCTAGCAGCTTACAGGGATTGAGATTTGCTAGTGGATTAATGATCCTTATTTGCAGGCTCTGGATAAATCCCTGGACTTCATTATTGACACAGCATCAGGTGAACATCCATTTGATCCATACATTACAACTCTGAAGACCGCTGGAGTCCTGGTCCTCGTGGGCGCTCCAAGTGAAATGAAGCTCACTCCTCTGAAGCTGCTTGTTGGTAAAGTGATTTATACAAGGAAAAAAATGAAAGGAAATGTCAGTTTAAGTGTCAGAATCCTGATTTCATTAATCTGGGTTTGCATTTTTCCTTACTTCGGCAGGTATGATATCCATTTCTGGAAGTGCAACAGGAGGCACAAAACATACACAGGAAATGCTGGACTTTTGTGGTACTCACAAAATCTACCCCAAAGTAGAAGTCATACCAATTCAGTCTGTGAATGAAGCACTTGAGAGGTTGATAAAGAATGATGTGAAATACCGATTTGTGATTGACATTGAAAACTCCCTCAAGTGATATATAGTATCCATAAAGGATGTCAGGCGATCTTCTAGTCCTCCGAAATGGAACACCAAGTCATCTATTTTGTATCATACAGTTTCGTTTGGCAATGAACTGAGAATAAGATAAAGTATTAGCATCTACTTTCCTATCCTAAAAAGCTAAAACAGTCTCTGAAATGCATGGTTCTTAAGGTTTTGTAAACCTATTAAGTATTACTTTCAGAGAGAATAAACTTGTGAATTTATACTTCATATCTATAGTCTTTTTTGCTCAACAATATCTGTGTTCTATGTTTGTTGTGTCTTTAACTTCCATCTGCATTAATTTGAGCTATTATTCTGGTCTGACATAACCATATTTTTTCTTGGACTTGAACCTGTCCTATTAGTCTAGAAATGCATCTGTTAAACCTTATATACAGACTATCTAGAATAGATCATCATCTAATTATGTTAGATTTATACCTAACGATTCAGGATCACTTGTTATATCATATGAACAACAAACCCAACACTAAGATAACATTAATCACCCGATTATCAAAATTCCTGCTAATTGGATCAAAATCACAACACTGATCCGGTGGAAAAAATCAGCTGGTTATATTTTTGTGCTTGTTATATATTGTTGCAGAGAGCAAATTGTTGAACATAATAAGAATTCTTAATTTCCAGAGAGCAAAAAGTTTACCATGTCAAGGTATGCATGCAGCTCCTTTATTTCCTTCATATATTCTTGGTCCTCTGTTAAAGTATCACTGTCGCAAGCACTCTTGTCTGATACTGGTATCTCCAGCTGAGCGGCACCGGTTTTTTGATGGACATTGTCAATTGAACACCTTCCAGCAACCGCTTCAATTTTCTGTTTACAACAAAATGCTGTCACGAGCAACAGAATCCGAACATACTCTTTGCGTTGTTCACAACAGTGGCTATCTTTTATTAGAATATGAGTTAGCTTATAAGTCAGACTGAAGTCACTACATTTTCATGGTCATAGTCAAAGAATCCAACTTCCCAACACTAGAATTTCCAAGTTGCTTGAGCAAGTCCACAGAAACTTATGCAAGGCATTGCTCACCATGTCCTGCTCTAGGCGACCAAAAGCTTCAAAACAGCTGGTTTCTTCGTTCCTTTCGATAATCCACGTCATAAACGCGATGTATATAATCGAAGTAGACGACCTAGACCTTAACTTATTCAGTACTGTCCACCCATTCAATGATTCATTTGAAACAGATACAACTCCTTGCTTACCCTTTCCT